ACACCGCAGCCAACAGCTAAATCATATTTTAACTATGCATTGCAGCAAATCCTTAAACAATTGTCTCTGCTTCGATTTGCTTGGGATATGCACTGGAGCATGCTGTGCCCCTATCTAATTGGAATTGGAATATATCACAATGTCCTTTGACAGCTCCCTCTCACATTCTCTCTCTCTCTCTCTCACTCTCTGACATTTATTTGCCTCCGTGGTAAACCAAAAGTCCAGCAGGGATTCGCTTTTGCTTACACGCCGCTTCTTACCAATTGAAATTTACATTATGCTGGCGCTCTCTGCTTCTTCTTCGCTTGCAGCTGCTGCGGTCAAAGTGCGCTCTCTGTTGGCTTTGCTGCCGCTGCTGCAGCATCCATTACTCATACGCCGCATTGGACGAACGCGCTTCGGAAACGACTTAAAGGCTGCAACGGCATTTCGAATCGCGACAGTTGCTGGTGTTGCTGTTGTTGTTGTTGTTCCTGCTGATGTTGCTGCACACTCAGCAGTCGGCAGCATTTCCCCAGAGCCGTACCTCATCCTTTCGCTTGTTATCTTTGCCTTTACATATGGCAACGATTTTTAATGCACGATACGCTGCGGCGCTGTGCGTCGTTGAGGGCATGTTTGAGTTAAGAAAACATTACTGTAACCAGTTACTGTTACAGCTACAGTTACAGTCGCTGTTATTCCATTGCCCGTGTCCTTGTCGCTGCTGTCCCAGAAATAAAAGTAAAACGCGTTGTTTTATAATTAATGAGCACGCCAGGCGCAAGGCACTGCATATGTACTGTCTCCTTATGCCGCCGAACCACCACTCTGTGTATCTGTGTGTGCGTGTGTGTGTGTGTGTGAATTTATGGTTAAGTGCACTTTAAAGTACAAACATACATATAACTCACTTTGGCACTGCCGCCTGCTGAGTTTCTTCTCGCCAGCCCATATACTTATAATGTGATCGCTTATCGATTTTACAATATAAAAAGCAATTGCCCGCATAAGAGCCTGTGTGACCATTGCAGTACCCAGCCCCCCATACCCCTGCCTCTTTTCAGACAGTATGTGGAGCAAACGACCAAAAAAGGAGAGAACAAAAAAAATTAAATGTGATTTTTATGAGCTTTGAGTGGCCACGCAGCAAGCTGCAAGACATTTATAGCTGCAAGCCCCCCTCTTTCTGCATCGCGTTAACTCCCCTAGCGATGGCCTCGCTAATGAACTGTAAATTTCAAAAGTAACTGGTAAAGATTCAACAGACACGCTGCTAGACAATTTTATGGAGCAGTTAGCCGATAGATGGATATTGAAATGCATTTATAGTCAATCTCGATCAGAGCTAAGAGAATGTCATATGAAGTTTGTCTATTCATAAAAATTAACAATGCAGGCAGCTACAATTACTTTCGTGATCAATAATGATCTCCCTGTGTGCTGCAGCCTTCCATCTGCCTACTCATTACTAGTTGCGCTTTCGCCCAATGAAACCAAAGCGAGTATGTTGCCATCTCGCTCTAACTCATTAAAAGCCGCGACTATGTTAAGCCAACAAGTATAGTTGTCTCTTTCTTGCTCCTTGAGTGTTAATTTACGCATTCACGCTAGACTTCAGCGCAAGCTCATTCGGATAATATTTGTAGTGCAGCTCCAGGGAGCTTTCAGCCTCTCACCAATACAACCACAACAATGGTAGCCAATCATAGCGAAATTGAACTGCCTTGCTTTTAAGCACCAATACCAATAATCAGATCAGGTTCTGCTGTGATCTTATCATATTATAGTAATATATATGTTTCTATTTTACACGTTTACATATTTTGTGTTTATTTATATACATATTTTCTTAATATTTACAAACTCAGTTTTAATATTAAATGTTCAGATAAAAGTTAAAATTAAAATGCCGCAAATAGATAGACACGCGAATAGCTTTTTATGCAAAAAAAAACTTTATTTATCGACGTCTAAATAATGCCTAACTACCTACGTTTACGAATATTTCAACTTGTCTTATATTTTTAAGCAAACTATTGCAGCTTCTCTGTTTTACTTTTTGAAACTATTATGCTTCATATATAGTTCAAAAATAATTAAGTTTCTATAAGACTTTAGTCATAAATTAAACAGATTTTCAATTAACCCACAAAACGGTATCATGGGCAAATCTTCAATACAAAGTCTGGCAATAACAAATTCTGGGCCGCATTTGTTGAGCTTCTTTTTGTTAAATGTTTTTATTCCTAAATCCTTTACATACATTTTTGTTATTCATAACTATTCGGCTACCTAGGAGAGGAGAAATTCCAGCAGACTCTCTGCAAAAGTTTTGCCAACTTTTTTTTGTTTATATTTTGTTTTGCCTTTGCCTAAAAGCAAACCATTTC